GATCCCGTGGCTTTTCTAAGCCTTCGCTCTCGCCACCCTTCCATTGCCAGCCAGCTCCTCTGTCCCAGTAGCCCCTTACACATTCTGACTAGCTCCCGCCTGAATTTCACTCCTACAAAGCCGTACAGCAGAGGATTGAGGGCACAGTGTGACAGCCCCAGACTTTCAGTGATCAGAGTTCCAACGTCAAGCACATAGCCAAGCTCACAGGATGCACTTAACACACCCAGCCTTAGCAGACTATCTGCCAGCTGGAAGCAGGTGTATGGAGCCCAACAGATTACAAATACAGACACTAAGGAGATGATGAGGCGGAGAGACTTGCGCTTTTGGCGGCGAGAGGCGTTGCACAGAGACCTGAAGATCCGGATGTAGCAGTAGAGCATAACTAGGAGGGGAACCCCAAAGCCCAGAACTACACTGACAAACTTCAGCCCCACCTGCCACTGTAAAGTGTTTTCAGTGAACCACACCTGGCACACGGGCCCCCTCTGCTGACCGACAAGTTCTATCATCACCACTTGTTTAAAGTAAATGTCAATTCCACTCAAGCCCAGACAGACTGCCCAGATGATGGCACATGCAAACTGAGCATGGCATGTGCTTCGTTTCCAACTTGAGCTGATGGCATGAACGATTGCCAGGTATCTGTCAAAGCTGATGCAGGCCAGGAAGAGGATGCCACTGTACCGGTTTAGGGAGAAGAGAGCACCAGAGATCTTACAAACAGCCAAGCCGAACATCCAGTGGTGAGCCCATTGCACTGCAAACAGGGGCAGAGTGAAGGCCAGAAGAAGGTCTGAAATGGCCAGGTGAAGGAGGAAGGTGTCTGTTAAGGAAAAGGCACAAGCTCCACTACTCTGAGAGATTCTGTAGCGTCTGATCACACACAGCACCAGCACGTTGCCAACAACTGCCAAGACGAACACCAGGCTGTATACTACAGGGGAGTATTTTTCTGCAAAACCATAGATGTCTTCCTCTAAGCACGGGGCTGCAACAGCTTCTGTCAAATTTTCATAATAATCATACTCCTGTGAGAAGACAGAGATACAGAACTCATCAATATCTTTCAAAGACCTGGGTAATTTAAAAAAAAGACTTGCTTTTAGATAAGGTTCAGGTAACACTTTGTGTTTCCTAATGAACAATTATGCATAACAACTAAATAACTAATTTAAATTAATAACTAAATTTTTAAAATATCCACTCACCCAGGCATTGTCTGTGGTTGACATGGCTGAATCTGGGATTGGACGGCGAGCCAGCAGAAGACCTAAAACCTTCCAGGGGAGATGAGAGTACACTGTTCTCATAAACACATTTGCCAAACATCCCTTTTCACATCTTGCCTTATCCAGATGACAGAGGATCAGAAAGAAGAAGTAAAAATTTCAGGAACTGATTGTTTTTTTTTTTTTCAGTTTTAGACAGATGAAAACATAGCTAAAGTGGGAATTGATGACTGTTTCAGGAAATTTTTTACACATATTTTTAATCCGTGTCTCCACCTAGCTGTAAGCGTCAGCCAGACAGACAGAGCATGACTACTGTGCTTCATATGAAAAATATTCCATTGCAAAGAAAACTTAGAAGAAAATGCATCCTCTTTGAAAACATAAATTGATTACACATTATAAAGTAAAAAACTATAAGTTGTCAGGCTTTAAAAAGCAGAAAGTTGTTTTTGCAAAGAAATCCTCCACAACTAAGGAGAAGTGAAAGTGCTTTGTTGGCACAAATTTTACACTCGCCACTATGCTGCAAGTTCAACTTGCTTCGACATATCAAGCATTTCACTCAACCTACAATGTAGTAACTTGTTTGTTTGTTTCTTCAGGAGTATTTTTTTCCTGTTTTTGTCCATTTATAGAATGTGAAAATATAAAACACTTTAGAGCTCAGCAGGACTGCATTATAAGATTTAAGTGATTTCAAACATTGGTGACTTTGGATTTCGCTCATGAAATATCAGTTGATGTCTTAGTTACAATTTCTATATTTGTTGACTTATGCATGGTTACCTCTAAGTGCATTTTTACATTTAGCAACCAGTGAGGTTTATGAAGGTTAATGTTCTTATCTTGACAGATAATCTTCTGTTAAACTTGACAGTGTGCCTCAAGTAAATGTTGCAAGCGCAGCTGTGTTGCAATGGCTTAGAGCTAATGAGTCACTCATTTGTGAAAATTCTTTCTGTCGTCAAACTCGGACCACCTGGCTCCAAACTGTGTGCCACTGAAGTTCCCTGTAAAACAGATCTGACTTTCAGCTGCTCCCTTATTTCTGAAAGATTCATCACAAAAAGTGGGTCTGTATATGTGATATTTGATATTGCAGAGGTTTTTTT